AGGCAGATAAGCCAGAAGGAAAAGAAGACAGGGACGGTCGTGTGACAGTCAGAAAAATGATTAAGGAAAGGAAGGCTCTGTTTAGGTTCGGTAGAGATGTGAGTGTAGTTAAAAGTTAATGGTTACAATGTCCGTTGCAGCACTGTTTACAATAGCCAGGACATGGAAGCAACCTAAGTGTCCATCAACAGAGGAATGGATAAAGAAGATGTGGCACATACATACAATGGAATATTACTCAGCCATAGAAAGAAACGAAATTGAATTATTTATAGTGAAGTGGATGGACCTAGTCTGTCATACAGAGTGAAGTAAGTCAGAAAGAGAAAAATAAATACCATATGCTAACACATATATATGGATTCTAAAAAAAAAAAATGGTTCTGATGAACCTAGGGACAGGACATAAATAAAGACGCAGACATAGAGAATGGACTTGAGGACACGGGGAGGGGGAAGGGTAAGCTGGGACGAAGTGAGAGTGGCATGGACATATATACACTACCAAATGGAAAATAGATAGCTAGTGGGAAGCAGCTGCATAGCACAGGGAGATCAGCTCGGTGCTTTGTGACCACATAGAGGGGTGGGATAGGGAAGGTGGGAGGGAGACGCAAGAGGGAGGAGATATGGGGATATATGTATATGTATAGCTGATTCACTTTGTTATACAGCAGCAACTAATACAACATTGTAAAGCAATTATATTCCAATAAAGATGTTAAAAAAAGTAGTTAAACATATGATAGAGTTTCTCAAAAAGCTGAATGTAGAATTAACTTATAATCCAACAGTTCCACTCTGGGGGATCTACTACCCAAAGGAAGGAAAAGCAAGGACTCAAACAGATACTTGTGTATTTGTTAATAGCAGCATTATTCACAATAGCCAAAATGTAGAAGAAATCCAAGTGTCCATCAGCAGATGAATGGATAAAGAAAATGTAGCGTATACACACAGTGGAATATTATTCAGTCTAAAAAAGGAAGGAAATTCTAACGCATGCTACAACTTGGATGGACATTGCAGATGTTATGTTAAGTAAAATAAGCCAGTCATAAATGGACCAATATTGTGTGATTCCACTTATATGAGGTACCTAGAATTGTCAGCTTCATAGAAAAAGAAAGTACCCTGGTAGTTGCCAGGGGCTGGGGGCAGGGGGTAACGGGAGTTACTGTTTAATAGGTATGAGGTTTCAGCTTGGGGAGATGAAAAAATTCTGGAGATGGATTGTAATGGTGATTGCACAACCATGTGAATGTACTTAATATCACTGAACTGTACACATTAAAATGACAAATTTTATGATACGTATGTTTTGCCACAATGAAAAATAGGTGATGGGTAAAGGACTGCATGTCTTAATGCTATTGGTAAGAGTAAATATTATGTTTAAAGGTATGAGAGAGGTATAGATAATCATGGTTAAAGAATTGGGTATTCGATGTTTAAATTTCAATAATGAAACAGTTTCAGATTATTACAAGGTCTGGGATAGCATTTCCATCTAAAGAAGGAGATGGTGTAATACCCTTCCAAAATATACCAACATCATTGAGGGTGTGGGGTATGCAAGGGAGACTAGGCATGGGGGTGTTGTGTGATCTTCCCAGCGGGTTCTGATATTTTCCCCTCCCTCTGCCTCCTCCCCCAGAATGCTAGAGTGGAAAGGAAATGTAGAGCTTTGGCATGAAGGATGTCAAGGCTGGAGAGTGGATTCGTCATCTCCATGAGCACTGAGGTTGTCACAGATTGATAGCCAGACTTGGAAAGTGAGAAGGACCAGTGGCTAAGGCTTTAATATGAGGAGGATACCATAGAGGATTGTAGAGCTGGACTCCATGGGCCTCAGATGTGGCATTTTTCCTCAAGGATGGAAGAGCTGTGGTCTTGGAATGATGTGCAGGGGAGTAAGAAGAATGACCACTGTTACCCACACACATTTTTTCAGTAATGGGAATACTAAGAAAATGAACTGTCTACTTAAGAAAGCCCTCAAGGGAAGTGAGACCCTAGAGCATTGGTTCTTGGACTCCAGTTTCACATTTAAATCATGTAGGAGTGAACTTTGAAAACATATAGATGCGAATTGAAGTTGAATCATTAGAGATTGGGGGTGGGGGGTATGTTGGCAGCTTTGAAAGCTCTCATGTGATTCTAATATACAGCCTGGGGTTGAGAGCCACTGCCCTAGTGAAGAGCTGGGTTTTAGCTGAGACAAGCAGGTAGAGGGAGCTAGAGAGTTTGGCCCAAATAGGACTAGGATACTATAGGACGTGCGGGAACAGTTGTCAGAAAGTGTGACAGTGGGGGTATGAGTTTGGAGAATGGCATGGGGAAGAAACAGAGCAGCGTGGTGGTAACTGATAAGGACAGGGACAGTGGGCGTACGTGGCCTTGAGGGTCCAAATAAAATTGTTACCCAAAATTGTTTCCGAAGTTACCGTCTGCTAGGCAGACAAATGAAGACATGGACAGGTTCAAGGAGGCATTTGCGCTCCACTCATTAATCTGACCTAGCAGTTTATAGTCAGAGCCAATACATGGAAGTATTATACATGGAGTTAACCTTTCTAAGCTTCAGTGTCCTGAGCAAAAAGAGAGTGAGAGAGACATCTACTTGGCAGAACTCCAGTAAGACTTAAGTGAGGCAATGAACAGAGTGAAAGTATAAGAGTAAATTTTGTAAGCACTTAAAACCTTACGAATACTGGTTGTTTTGTTACCTTCATATTAAAAGAAACTGGGAGTCTTACCTCATCAGGAAGTTCCCTTTTATCCTTTGGAATATACCACTTGGTCAATTCTCAGAGGATCCTAATAGGCGTTCGGTGTTAGGATTAGTCTAGCTTGGCTCAGGGTATGTGCTTCCAACCTGTTCTTTTCCCTCTAGTAAAACTTCTTAAGAGGGGAGGCTGTTTCCCTTTTTTCTCAGCTCCATCCTAACTGACCACATGCTGCACTATTTAAAATGAAGCAATTAAATGGATTCTCACTGTATTGCCAAGCTGACTTTGGACTCCCTCTTCGTACTTGGTGTCTGTTTTTGCAGACTCCTTGAAGGAATTGTGCAAAGAAGAGTGGATTAAAAAGAAGATAACATATGAATTGAGGTTTATTTTCCCCACTTTAAACCTAGGTTAAAATTACTGTGAAAGTGATAACTGTATTGCAACTATCAAAAAATTTTTTGATGGAAAAATTTCTCTGTGTCACGCAACTGCCTATTTGAACATCATACTGTAAAGCAAATATCCTAAACTTTGTTTCTAAAAATTTAAGTCTCAACGTATTTTAAAGTATTTATGATATTCTATAGTGTGAGTTACCTGCTTTGTTTCCCCTACTAGGTTAAAGTGGCCATTAACAAAGGGGGACTTCTCTTTGATCCCCTGAACTGTACTCTGTACACAGTAGGTGCTCAAACAATTCAAATTGTTGAATTCGGACACAAGATCTACACGCTTACTCTTTATAGCATCAGAAATTAAAGTTATTTTAAGCCTCTAGTTGTTTCAAGTTCTTTGTATTAAGTAGAAGTTAAGAAATTAAAGCCATGGAGTTCTTGCTAATAAGAGGATGCTTATTCTGTAAGAGAGCGATTTGCTTGTGGAGTCAGATATCAAGGCTGCTTGCTCCTATCACTAGGAGGTAGAGTTTGCTTTATTTATAAGATACCATTGTCAGTAGGAACAGTAGACATATTATGCTAACTTTTCCTATACTAACCTCACGTTGCATCCCAGCTTTATTGTGGGAATTCTTCCAGCATTCTGTTTGCTGAAGCTTTGTGGGCAACCAAGAAATCAAACCCCTACTGCTGCTACAGCCTCCCCTGCCAACTTCATCCAGGTCGGGCTCTTACTGCCCTCTCTTATGGAGGCATGTTTCCATGTTAGCCCCCCTACCCAGCCAGGGGACTAGTTCCTTATTCATCTTGCTGATAGTGGTGTCTCCACACACATGTAGGAGGTGCTCAATAAACGTTTGGTCGTTGATGACTGATCAAATAAATTCCTTAATAAATTCCTTTCTAGAATCTTATTTATTTTTTGTAAAATCAGTCCACTTTTGTAAAGAACTGATGCTTATCTTTAAAACAGGTTTCAAAAAAAAATAGGTTTCTTCTTTCTCTCTTTTAAAGGAGGCAAGTTTGTTTTTTTTTCTTTTGTAAAACAATTTTTTATTGAAGTATAGTTGATTTACAATATTTGTTAGTTTCAGGTGTACAGCAAAGTGATTCAGTTATGTATTTATATTTTTTCAGGTGATTTTCCATTATAGGTTATTACAAGGTATTGAATATTGTTTTCTGGGTTATACAATAAATCCTTGTTCCTTATCTATTTTATGTAACATAGCTTGCATCTGTCAATCCCGTACTCCTAATTTATCCCTCCCCCAACAACTCCCCACTTCGTAATGCTTCTCGTCACAGTCACACTGTAGACAGTTCCCTCTCAGAGGAGAGGCTGTAGTCGAAGTTGCTGGGTACCACCACAAGCTGCCGGAGTTCCAGCGGACTGAATAGATTCCATGAACCCACCCCAGAGAGAGAAGTCATCTCTGTAGTGTTGATCTGTAGAAGAAAGATGAAATGCTGGAAGCAAGAGAGTGCAATGTAGCATTGCTTATGTGGGATGATTACTCCACTGGGCAAATATTATACATTTCTGTTGTCCTGCCATCCTTGCTGGAGTCTAAATTCACTCTCACCTTGTTGGGGTTGCTGTAGGTGTGTATAGAGGGCAAAGTCCCTTTTGCCTGAAGCCAGATAGATGCAGGAACAAATCAGATGTTGGATGCTGCAGTTGACAAAATTCCAAGAGGTGAACAGGGGGCTTATCGGGTCGAATTGTATTTCATGATGGGAGTTTTATTTGGCTGTTGAGAGTCAGGGGAATTTGTATGTGTTCTTTGGGCTTTGGTCTGTTGTTCTCTTGTCTGTTGTGCTCTGCCGCACTGACGGTTTATTGCCTTCGACTCTGATTTTAAAGGTCTCCATCCCAGTAACTGAAGGCCTGGGCATGATTGCCTTGTTGACGGATGATGCCACGGTTGCCACCTGGAATAATGAAGGACTGCCCAGTGACAGAATGTCCACGGAGAACGCGGCCATCCTAACACACTGTGAGCGCTGGCCCCTGCTGATAGATCCCCAGCAGCAGGGAATTAAGTGGATCAAGAACAAGTACGGAACTGACCTGAAAATCACACATGTGGGCCGGAAAGGGTATGTGAAACCTGAAGGGTTGACTTTCTGTTGAGCTGCCGGAAATGGGGCTGGCTTTTACCAAGTCCTGGCATTTCTTAGACCTCGCTGCCACTTTGAAATGTGATAGTTTGGTACGACTTGTTTATCTGCCTGCTCACGTTTCCCATAAAGTATCTCTGTTGAAAGGGCATTTACATTGGGTGGCATCCACTTACCTGAAGAAGAAATTCGTTGGAAGGTTAGAACAAAACACTGAATGTGAAAGGAAAAATTTCCTAAGGCCAAGAATGGTAATACAATGTATTATAATCCTTCTTTAGGACTTTGGCATATGGTAACCCAAGAATTGTCAGCTGCACCTATAGGTTTAACAGTGGTTCCAGTTATATTCCTGAATATGTACTTCGCCTACAGTGGGGATTTAACATGGCTCAATTCCCAGCAGAGTGCCTGTAGATAATTTTTTAGTCAAGCTTTACATGTCACTTTTGAGAACTGAATCTACTCTGAGATTTTCTGTCCCTCGGTCCGCATGACAGTGTTTTCTGATAAGTAGAAAGCTCTCTGGTATGCAGTTGGTCTTCAGTTAATGCGGAATAAATAATTTTAGTCATACTGATACTTTACTTCACCCCTCCATCATCTTTTGACATGTAAAATGGAATAAGGAATGTCTGCAGTCGTGCAGATAAATGGTCTCTTTGCTTATCTGAATACTTGGAGGAAATTATTTTTGAATAGGAGAGACTATTTTTGGAGAGTGGGAATGAAATAAAATGATAGTTCACCACTTTACATGACTGAATCTAAATGTTTAAAAAATGAAAATTTGATAAAGCCACAAGGCATTTAATATAATTTTTATTTTTTTTTATCAAAAGAGGACCTATTGAGTAAATTTAAATTTATAATGTTTGGGTAGGTTACATTTATTTCAACCATGATTACTATCAAAAGTAAGTAATTTTTACACGGACTCATTAGTTCACACTACTGAATTTCACTTGGAAAAATATAACTGAAATTTACCTCAAAATCTAATCTTTAATTTCCATGTATTCTAGTTGAAGAAAACACTACTTTATAAAATATTTAGTTTTCTCTAAGTTAGTTTGTTCCATCTAAAGTATTTACATTAAATACAGTTGAGTATAAATAATTTTGAACACTTTCCCTGTGCTCATTTACATTTTTTCTTGATTCTGACTGAACTTTAAGGTTTTTGAATGACATTGAAACCGCTTTGGCCTTTGGAGATGTCATCTTACTTGAAAACCTTGAGGAAACGATAGATCCAGTCCTTGATCCATTGCTTGGCAGGAACACAATTAAAAGAGGAAAGTAAGTATTATTGAATTTTTAACATACATTTTGTGCTACATATGAGTTTGATCATCAGCTTCTATTTCTTGGCCTCATAATCACGTGTAATCTATGGGAATATTCTTGGTGATGTTTCTGAGTTTCCATTCCAAGCCTCCTGCATTCTAAGACCAAAGCAACCTTGACATGATCCAGATGTTCAGACTATTTGTTTGGTGGATTTAGATTCATGTTACCCAATTCCTGATTTATAGATTCCAAAAATGCATTGTCACAAATCTGAGAGTAAGTTCCTCCTTTATTAGTTGTTCCTTCATTAGCTCCGTTATTAGTTGAATGTTTTTCTACCTTCAGTACTTTGCAAAACACCTTTAGTGTGTTTGCCTTAACCGCATATTGCTTGTATCCTTATTTACTTAATACTTTTAAAAAACTATTTTAAATCCACTCTATTTTTTTTTTTTAACTCAGCCTTACCCCAAGTCATAGCGTCTATGAAATCATGGGTTTACTGTGCTGGTTCTGTCTTTCCCTATACCTTCAAAATATATATAACCATTAGAAAGAAAAGAGTTCATTAGTGGACCCATAAGATCATCCGCATATCGGCAGTGGCAGACTGGGCACACCCTTGGTGAACTCTACGTGATGTTCCAAATGCTGCCATCCCCCCGGACACTGGCTCTCCAGGACATTCTCTCAGGGGCGGCGAAGCCGTTTCCAAGGAGGCATCACACACTTTCTATAAATGTGTAAAAGTTCAGATGCAGCACTTATGTCTCTGAGCCTGTGTGGGGCTCAGGGGAGATTGTGGCATTCCCACAGCTCTCTGTGCCTCTTCACTCAAGAAATCAACATTGATTAGGCTTCTTTCCGTGGATTTCCTTCTCTTTTGTTTTTTTTTTTTTTCTCTTCACAAAGGCGTAATTCAGAACTTCCCCAACACCCTTCTTCTTTGATACCCACTCTCTGCCTCAAAGGTGTCTTGTCTCCCTTTTCATCACTGGATTATTCCTGTCAGTTTTAAGTGGAAATAGGCCTATTTAAGGGTGACTAACTTCTATTTTGTAAAAAGTCTCTAACTGATTAGTATTTATTATACAACTCACCAACTAAATCCATTTATAGTGAGTGACAACTTATAATTGTTTAATAAACCAAAATTTACTCAGACATGCATTTAGAACAGTCTAATAACGCACTTGACAAACTGCAGCTCCAACATAAATATAATTGTAGCTGTGTCTGATGTGTTAAAGATACAGTGTAGAATCTTGAATGTCACTAAAGGGAAATCCTTGTTATTAAGGTTCTGACTCTATTATGAAGACCTAGAAGTTTTGTCAGTGAAATAATATTCTCTTAGCTTTAACTTGGACCTTCAATAACACAATTTAGGTGTAAGAAAATTGGTCTCTCTCTCTCTGTATTTATGTGTATATATATATATATTTTTTTCTTGATAATCTGAAATTTCCAGAGCCTGATAAACTTCAGTCCTGACTTTTTTCTCAGTGTGGTTATAGTTAAGTGTAAGTAAGAATCCCAGAGGGTTTTTTTTTTATTTCAGAAACAAATTATTTTACATAAAGCATCAAATTCTTTATCACAAAATATCAAAGCAGGACAATTTATTCCAAATTAATAATATTTCCTGAATAAGCACTCTCTATTAGGCTTTATAGAATTGCTCATATCACTGTAGCTTTTTTTAAAAGGTCAAGAGAATTTTAAATGATATGTAAGAATATAATAAATGGTGTTTGTTGCATGCAGTTGTTACCATAACAGTTTTAGCTCCTAAACTCTTATGTGCGGAAACAACCACTTTTATGAAGGTAAATTTAGATGTTTATCTCCCGTTTTTTTAGATGTTTTTAGAGTTTCTTTATTCAGAGAATCTGAGTCATTGCATATTCTATTAGTCACTGAATAAACCCTCTCTGAGCACTGCTAGATGCCAGGCACTGTACTGGGGGCTGGAGATTCAAAGCGTGATAAGGTACAGACCCTGCCCTTAAGGAAGCTACATTTCCTTAGGGGAAAGTCAGACCTACAAACAGTAAAAGTAATGCTTGCCATTGGTGTGGTGATAGAAGTATGCATGATAGGGAATCATCAGCTCCATAGTGGAGACCCGGGAAGGCTCTGTGGAAACAATTGTGTTTGATTACATTTACATTTAATGTGAGTTGAAAGGTGAGTGGGCGTTTGTCAGACAGAAGACTGGGAGAAGAGAATTCTGGAACAAGAGAGCTAATACCAAATAGCAAAACACAAAACAGCCCAACAGCTTTGGGGACCTGCAGTTAGGATTCAAATATGTAGAAAGCCCCATTTTGGGGGTGGGAAAGGGAGGTGTATGGACTCAGAGAGATGAGACTGGATTATCAGTACCCAGAATGTTGACATCCTTGTGTACCCACAGATGACCATAGGTTGGCCTTGGGTGATAATGCTTTTTCCCCAAAGACATTAAAGGGGTCCGTTCCTATCAGTAACACTAGTTGACAACAGCAGTGGTTTTTGACCAAAGGACCTTGCCTTCCTGGAGTAACACATCTGGAGTTTCCATATTTTCACTTGAAAATCATGAGCATAAGTCAGTGGGGAAGTTAGTGAAGACTCTTAAGCAGGCTAGGAGTAATGAGATCAGACTTACGTTTTTGAAAGGACGCTGTTGGCCGTGTGGAGTATTGATTGAAGGCACGTGGACCTAGAGCCAGGGTCCGTCCAATTAGCAAACAATTGCAATATTCCAGTTGAGACATGATACGAGCCTAAACTAAGCCAGCGACAGTAGAGGTGGAGAGGAGAGGGCAAACCAAAGAATTCTCAAGGAGTTAATATCATCAGTTCGTGGTCAATAATGGGATTTTGTTAGTAGGGAAAAGGAAGGTTCAAGGTGATTTCCAGTCTTCTGCCAGGTTAAATGATGGTATGGTTTATGGAGAGATGTGATATAGGAATAGGAGTAAGTGCAGGGAAAGAGGTAACTATTTCACTTATTAGACATTCAAAGATTGAGGTGCTACTTTAAACACTCATTCTCGGAAAAGTCTAAGAAGCCATGGAATACGTGAGTATGGAGCTTAAAATCTTGGCTGAGCATGTAGATTGGGGAACATCTCCATAGAGAGTTGGTTAAGCACCATAGAAGATGTGATTATCTATGGAGATGCTATATAGTCAGAACAGGGAACATTCACTTCACAGAATGGAAAAATGGGGCCTGAAAGAGCTTAGTCACTGTCTTCTTGGATGCTCAAGGCTATATGAAATTTAATGCATGGAAACCTAGTTTCTTAACCAGATTTTCCAACTACATAGGCACTACCATCTTTCAGTAGAATTCCTATGAATTCTCCTTTGCCAATCTGACTCTTCCTACTCTTCCATTCTGTTTTTCCCCTAAACTCTGTTTATTTTCTCATTTATGTTTTGTTTTCATATCTACCTTACAGTGTAGTTTAGGCCATTCATTTCTTCATGCTGACTGTAGTGATCCCTTTACATCCTTTCTCTACTTACTTCTCTCCAACCCAGAGAGTGGTTAAAATAATTTTTTTTAATATTGCTTGTTTCATCACTCCCATTAAGAATTCTCTATTGTCAGTTACTTTGAATTGAATTAAAGCTTTTCTGTGAAACCTGCAAAATGCTTTACCTGTTTGATACTACTGAGTTTCCTTTTACCAACCTCATTTTTCATTACTTCACACAGATAATCCCCCTTTCTATAATGTGCTATTTTATTTACCTTTTCTATCAATACAAATCCCAAATCCACTTCATTAGGAATTTAACTGCTATTCAGTCAATCAAATGGGAATTTAACTTTTCTGCATTTAATGCTTCCCATGCATACTACATGCTATACTGTGTGACTGTCATTTTGACTTTATATGTCATTCTTAAAATATGCTTAAATTCTCTTATATATCCTTATTAGATTACAAGTTCTCTATGGAAAAGACTCATACTATATGCCTTTAAAAATGTGGTTAACTAAAATAAAAACAAAACAATAAAAACATAGACTTTTATTTCTGGCACTGTGGCAGATTAGATATGTGAATACTGGAAAACAGCTAAATATGTTAGTTACATTATTAAAAACACTTTTTGAAATGTATCACTCAGTTGACCAAAAAAAAAAAAAAAAAAAAAAAGTGTGACCAAAAAGCAGGAAATAGAAAGATAACACCAAAGCTGTTTTTTTCCTGAGGGTACCTGCTAAAACCTGATAATACTGGGTTTCTGTTTTGATGGATGTACAGAGCTTGGACCAAGTCTAGGGCCTATTCAGGGTGTGGAGTCTGCTAAGAGATTCTTGCTTAATGCTAGAGCGTCAAGGAGCCATACCTTCTATTTAAGGGCAAAAACCAGCACTACAGAAAGGAAACTTTCCTTTCTGTACTTTGGTGCTGGGAAGAGATGGAAAAATATCCCCAGAGAATTCCTTACCACATCCATCTTTCTTATGAATGTTTAAGACAAATTTTTATTTATTTATTTTTATTTATTTATTTATTTATTTTTTTCCCGGTACGCGGGCCTCTCACCGTTGTGGCCTCTCCCGTTGCGGAGCACAGGCTCCGGACGCGCAGGCTCAGCGGCCATGGCTCACGGGCCCAGCCGCTCCGCGGCACGTAGGATCTTCCCGGACCGAGACACGAACCTGTGTCCCCTGCATCGGCAGGTGAACTCTCAACCACTGTGCCACCAGGGAAGCCCCAAGACAAATTTTTATTACTTGCGTGCCCTAAAATACCTCAAACCATTAACTTATTTTAAAGTGGCCTTGGGTTGGTCACACCCTAGTGCACTTGGCAGAAGCAAACAAAGAACCTCTTTGGAATAATGTCTGTCAGTCTAGACTTTAGAGGATTGTGAAAGATCTAATTCAACGGTACATGAGTTCACAGACAAAAATCACAGAACACACGAGGAAATAAGGCACCATGAGCAAGAGCCAATAGAAACATCAAATAATAGAATCCTTATTTCATTTCTGC